TACCTTGTTCAAAAAATTGTGACCGTCTTTTTAAGTTTTTCAAAGAAATAGGTTCAGATGCTATTTGGGAAATACAAAGAATATCAACAAGTCAATGAGGTGCTGTCTTTTCCTAAATTACCATCACCACTGGATAACATGCAACATTTGTCAGACCTCCAATCTACTGCAACGTCACTTCAAAAAAAACCTGGAACATAGAGGAAATCTAATCTCTCATAATAACAAATACAGTTTTTAGTAGGTTACACCATACAGTGATTAGTATTTCATTTTAGCACTAACACTGCTCAACTATAACAACAGTCAAGGGTCCCACAAGGACTCTAGATTCTTCCCCATCTAATTTAAGCCACTTCAAGATGCCAAATTAGGAGCCTAATCACCACAGGCTCCATTTAAAGTCAGCAGAAAGGCATTTCCAAAGGGCAACTGACCTCTTAGGGGAATTCCTTTATAAACCACCAAGCACATGCAAGATAAAATAAAATAAGGAGTTCCCACTTAAGGGTTACTGCTCCATTAGGAAGTCTACATACCTGCTTTCTCTCTCTGTCACCAAGCAAGGCTAGATTTGTTCATAGCATCATGAATAATTGTTCATACCAGAACCATCAATATTTTCTCCAGGAATAAAAATTAAAAGTAAACAAATAGACAAGAACTTGTCTACACACTTGAATTAGAAAAAAGTTGAATACTCTTTGAATACTCTTTTGCTAGAGACTGAAATAGATTGATACTCATGCTGACTCGGCCTCTACACAAAGCAGTAGTAGCTTTAATAAACTCTTGGCCTTCCACTTCTTTCATCCCTACCACACAGGGAACTTACAACCGCTAATGCTGAGACAGGGGAATTGTCACTGCTTTGCTGTCAGTTCTGACTGTTTAGCACGCTGCAGAAGCAAACTACACTCAGTTTGGATGCAATTAAATCTTTGCGATACCTGTCTTGCTTTCAGCTCATTAAGGTCTCACTTAGCCCACTATATAAAGCTGACGATGATTACAGGTTTAGTGCCTATGCTCGTTCCAAACCCATACAATTAGCGGATGAAAAGCCATTGCAGTTTACCTCTTTGCTGGTTAGAGCCATGATCTCCTTGCATCCCATTTATCAATTTTGTTTCTGTATCCTGAAAAAGAAAAAAAAAAAAAAAGGCTCAGGTTCATGTGTTTTGTGGAAATTTACCACCAAGTTAAACATTTCCCCTCATAGGAACTGTGTATCATTAACATTTCAGAATGACAGAAATTCCCCAGAAGGATAAAAACTATTAAAAAACTTCCTGAGTATACTGTATGATAAAAGGACTGTAGGCACTTGCTGGGATCAATAGCCAGCTGTGAATTGATAGCTGAAATAAAAAAAGCATTAATTTGCAAGAAAATGCCAGAAGCTGCAATAGTTCCTCCAAATCCAGCTTCTTGGCAGGCAGCAAGTTATTTGCAAATAATCTGAAAGCGTGCGCACCCTCTGTTCCTCAGGACTGCAACTTTCATTTAAGCTAGTAATGGAGCTGATAGGCATTTCTATACAATAAACAGTCTGCACGTTTTAATTAAAATATAATCTGCAAATATGTTAACACTTATCCCATATTCATGAACAGACAGTATCCAGGCTTTAAAATAGATCTTATTTACCTTAATAAACGTACACCTTCATCTCCATACTTGCAAGAATATAAATTCCTTGTAAGAGGCACATAAACAAGTAACAGTAAGATTTCCTAAGTTATTTTCCCTCCCCATTAAGGCCTTGAATTTTGAATTTCTTCTTCCCCCCAAATACCATGACCCTTTAAGTACACTCACAGAACTTTGAAGGCTGCTGGAGAAATCTGCTTTTGGTGATATGGTTGAAGTGTTTGAAACGTGCTCTCCAGAAGTTGCATCAATCCATTTATTTTCAGATGTACCTATAATGTTGGTAGCCATACTGGTGAGATTGAGGATTTTATGCCTTACATGTGGCAGGGAAGGCTGGTCTGTGCCCCAATCTTTTTGGTAGGTGGAGATCAAGAAATTAACGTAGACAGTAACGTCAAAGAACAGAACAAGAGTTAGAGAAAATACATTCAAATAATACAAAAATAGAAAAAAAAAGTAACAAGAGGGAGATATACAAATCAGGCAGAATTTGCAAAGACGGGAAAAGGGGCTTTTATGAGCAGACCAGCTTCCCCAAAAATGCAAGTGTTAGTCAAAAGCTAGATAAAAGTTCACCAAGATGCATTGCTAACATGGACTGCAGCAGCTCAATGTTACAAAGTAAATAGTATTTATTGAAAACTATTCCGTTAATAAGAACGGAAGAAATTCTCCCAGCTTTAGCTCACACAAGGTACATTTGGAAATACAGAATATTCAAAGAAGAAAAGTGACTTTTTCATGTCCGAGCTACCTGGGAAATGCATAGAGGGCAAAAAAAAAAAAAAAAAAAAAGACCATCTAAACAAAAATAACAAAACTGATGAGGAGAACACAAATCACAACTTCAACCCTTCCACCACCCCCTTTGAATTTATTTGACAAGCTATTCTCCTCTAACTTCAGGCTTCACCTGTGCTAGGTATGGTATACGTTATCTTTTTGTTTTTTCTCTTATCTCTTCCTAACCCCACTGTTTCCCCCTGCCCCCAATTGCTGATATCTTATTCTACCTGTCTTCCCACTAAAAGAACGGTATATCATCAGAACCTGAAAGAACTCATTGGTCACGCTTCAAACACCGGAAAAATTCCTTTGTGACTTTGAAAAGGCATCCTGATCAAACCCACGGCACATCTGGAGACGTGCCAAACCCCTCAGCCAGGATGGAAATTCTCTCTCACCAGAACGGATAGTGCCATGTTAAGGAGAGATTACAATATCACAATATTTGGGTTAGTGGTCAGAATCATAAGCCCAGAGGAGCTACATGAACCACAAGCTCATATGCCACCAAAATCCTGCCCCTGAGGAAAGGGCACGGGACTCTCCTTCCCTGAAGGAAGGAGGAGACAAAAAGGAGCTGCTGAGAGAGAGGTTCTAAAAATTACTATCCTCTAGGGAAGAGCCCCACTTCATTTATGTGATATAGCAGGTGAAGAGAATTATTTTTCTGTTCCCTTGTGTGGCGGTTGCACAATTTAACTGTGCGTTGTCTCAGAAACAGGCCAGAGCATAAGAGAGAGGTCAGCAGTTTAACATTTAACGGACTTGCTTGTGAAGACATTTGTAATACAGAATTGTTAAAAAAAAAAAAAAAAAAAAGCCAAGTTGTGTTAAAATGCAACAGACACAATAGCAACTACTTAGCTCAGATACATATTACTACTGTAAGGGTAATAAGGACTCTCAGCTGTCACGCACAGCAGAGACAAAGCTTATTTGCCTTACAGAGCTCACCGTATCTGCCCTACGAAAGAACTCACCATTCTTTCCATATCGTCTGACATCCATGACCAGGTTTCCAGTTTCTAGTGCTCTGGCGATGGCTTCTTCCCACTGACTATAGTCCATATGTGAAACCTTTGTGCCATTGACAGCAATGATCTCATCATCTACATGCAGCTGGCAAAGTGCTGCAGGGCTACCTGCAGAAAATGAGGAAAAAAAAATTATGCCTCCACTCAATTATTTTTACCACAGTTGTGGTGGAGAGAAAAAAAAAGTATATTTCTTTCAAAGAAATGCTTTTGGTGGATATTCAAACAGTCTTTGAAAAAAATATTGCACTGTATGTAAGGTCAGTAAACTCTGTTAATACCAAAGTAACGTTCAATTTTAGACTTATGAAAAGGAGGCAGAACATTAGCCTTTTGCATTTGTAAGCAGTCACACACTGGCTAGCTCATTTAATAACTTCACTAACTTGCTTTTATAGTCTGGGGTAGTGAGAAAGATAGCATCGCAGTATCTGTAGCCAATGACACCTGAAATTCAGCCAATGTTTGGGTAATCCTCTTGTTTGCCTGAAAAATGGGCTCCACTTTGTTAACTCCAGTATAAACTGGCTTGCTTATTTACTTTTTCTGGGCTCTGTTGACACGAATACGCAGCTCTATTGCTTTGTTAAAATAGTTTGTTAGCTCTCAATCAATTGAGGATTGAACTCACTCAAGATACTGCTGGGTGCTGTATCATTAGGCCTCTTTATTTCTCAGTAGCTACAACTCAACTGAAAGCAAATTTTATTGCAGCTTGGACTTTGAATTCTATAGATATTTTGCAAGACAAGCTGCACTTTACACTATTTTTTTAATCTATTACTATGCACTGGCAGGTGATCCCGCTGGTCTAAAGACAGCCAGCATACAGGGCTAGTTAAAAAGCCTTTTTTGTTTGTTCAGAAGGTGAATGAGCTGAGAATATCAGACTACAGTTCATGTATCTGAAGGGTTTTTCCCGTTAGCATTTATTCCCTGAGCAGAATAGAAAAACAACAGGAAAATACAGTTAAAGATTGAAAAAATAAATCCTCATGTTAAAAAACAAACAAAACAAACAAAAAAGCAGACAAACTTGAATTACACAATGGAAGCTTTTTCCAAAGCAAGTGGAAGAATCCATGCATCTTACGTAAAATATACCAAGGACAACGTTATATTACATTATCAGAAACAAGTGGGGACAAATGTGAGAGAAGAATTTAGAACCCTCATGATTCATCTGACCTTCTTCTGACTCACTAGAAAAATGTTATTAGAAGTCTGGGTCATCTGCTAAGGATTCAGACAGCTTTTAATATTTCTGGCACCCCAGGAAGTTGTTGTTTTTAAAAAAAAAAAAAAAAAGAAACGCTAGGCTTCCTAATACTTTTCTGAACTATTTCATAGTTCACAAAAACACAACAACATTTTAACTAGCATGTTGGAAGAGCATAGCTCCATGTTCTATTCTTCTGTATTTTTCTTAAAGCACGGACTGAAAACTCCAGCAGCAGTTACCAGCACACTTCCAACGCATACTAATTTTAAACAATATTATAGCAGAAAAATTAGAGTTTTTAGTTTGGAGGAAATAGTAAAAGCATAAGCAATGATGATGAAACTGGAAGAACCTGCACCTCCTTAGAGTAAAGGAGGTCTAATAAAAGTTAATAGGATTGAAGGTCAAATGGGAAGTACTATTTTCAAACATATATACAGAACATTTGGAATTGTGTTTTATTTCAAAATCTAAGATCTTCACTACCATATAGTTTGATCTCACACAGACCAAACTTTATGCTTATGGTAAAGGGGCTGCTTTTGGCCCAAGGAAAGAGACTGGATCAAGTATTGCCACGTTTCGTGCTGTGACATAGAATAAACCCTAGGAGTAAAAGTTGGTGTTCATTTTACTCAATTAACTTGATTGGGCTGAGATTCAACTCCTAGGCGCCTCAGCACAATTACAGTAGGCACATGAGAAAATAAACAAAGAAAAATGAAAAACAAAAACCAAAACCCTGGATTACCAATTCAGGTTTTAGAAAAAGAAGGAAATTTAAGATCGCACAAACTTCCTCCCGTAAGACCACGATAAAAACATATCCAGACTACATCCCAGCCATACACACTTGAATAAATAGCGACAGTCTCCACGCGTAGACCTCGCACAGACCGAAGAACTTACACCACTCATTTTCAGCACCAAACTTTGCCAGCTGACCTTGCTATACTGCCTCTATAATCTAAGAAGAGAGGGGTCTCTCCAGAGTGCAAAACAGCACCTACATTAGGCTTCTGCTCTGATTCACCTTCCAGAGAAGCCCTGGTTTCACTAACAATAAAAGGAGCCTGCAGAGACCAGCGGGCTGTTTAGATGCCTAAAGCTTTATGGTGTCAATCACCTTCTGTCCAGCTCCTCCCTGACTATAGGATTTAGTGATAGTTTTTCTTTATACAGGCGTAGAGGATTTAGTTTCCATTAAATAAAAGTTAACGGTTTTTCATAAATTTTCCTGAAGGTAGGAAATTCTTCTTTCTTAAAAAAGCAAAAAACAAGTACACAGAGTTTTCTCACTTATTTTCCATACATATTTATTTATCCTTATCTGCTGTTACTACCATAGATTAATTCAGATTTGTACAGAAAAAATTAAAATATGAATGAGTAAAATTTATTTTTGCAAAGAACATGTCCTATGACCCTGTGAGTGTTCAATCGCAGACACGTACGCTTCTGCGTCAACTCCACCTCAAGCAATGGCTGCAAATAGGGTGTGCGAAAAGGGAAGGACTGAAATAATGGAAGTTATGGCAGCAGGGAAATTGGCAGAACAATGTTAATATTTAAACTTTTCTACGGCCTTTTGCTTATGTAATTTTTAGCATAAAGGTAGAAAATGCCTGTAAAAAAGAACACTATATTCTTTTAAAGATAATAAGTGGGCCTCAGGGAAACATGCATTACAAGCTTAACTCTTAATAAACTTTCTGAGAACACATATAAGAAGCTAATTTTCTTTGCCAGAGAGATTTCTTACAATTTTTTGAAGTAAAAGCAGTATGTAAAATACAAAGTGTATGTAAAATACAAAGCCATTTATAAGCAATAACAAGATAAACGCAGTTTAGCACTTAAAAAAAAAAAAAAAATCCATAGAGCTAGTTAGGATGGTAAGCATGTCAGGATAAATCAAGTAAAGTCTTCCTGGAAGCTATTTCTGGGCTCACGAAGGAGAAAAAGGTGATTGGGAACAGTCAGGATGGATTTACCAAGCGTAAATCATGCTGAAACAACCTGGTTGTCTTCAGTGATGAAATGACTAGATCTGTGGATGAGGAATGTGGAGGATTTACTTCCTTGACTTTAGAAAGGCTTTTGACCCGATCTCCTACAGTATCCTGATATCAAAGGTCAGATGTTATGGTCTACAAGGGTGCACAACTAAATGGGTGAAAAACTGGTTGGACCATCAGGCTCAAAGGGTAGAGGTTAATGGTTCAGACTCTCCCTGGAGGCTAGTACAAGCAGAGCTCCACAGGGATGTATCCTGCGATCTGACCTGCTTAATACGTCTATCAGTGACCGGGGGATGAGACGAAACACAATGCATCCTCATGAAGTTTGCAAACCACATCCAGCTGGAGGGTAGAGTTGATACGCTGGAGGGCAGGGCTGCTGTTCAGAGCAGGAACCTCATGACATTCAACAATGAGAAAAGCAAGGCCCTGCCCTGGGAACAGTACAGCCCTGTGACAGTACAGGCTGGGGCCTGCCCAAGGGGAGCAGGATATGGACAGCCTGGTGGGCGCTGGGCTGTACGTGAGCCGGTACCATGCCCCAGCAGCGTGGAGGGCTGGCGTACCTGCACAGTTTACAAGCAGGTGCATAGCCAGGATGGAGGATGGAAGCGACTATCCTCCCCTTCACAGGACACTTGTTACACTACACAAATAATACCCAGTTTGGGACTGCCAGTTCAGGAAAGTCATCGCTAAACTGGGGCGAGTTCAGCTGAAGGCCACCAGGATGGTCAAAGCTGGAACGCTGCCCTGTGAAGAGAGGCCAAGGGATTCTTGTTCAGCCTGGAGAAGTGACAGCTTCAGGGAGCCTAAAAGCAGCCCTGGTAGCTAAGGAGAAGTCGCTCAGAAGGGAAAGCTTGCTTTTTATTAAGATGCATGGCGGGAGGACAAGACATCACGGTCATAAACTAAGACAAGGGATGTTCTGACTGAATATAAGGAAAGTTTTCCACTGGGAGGATAGTTATGCATTAGAGCAGGCTGCCCAAAGAGGTTATGCAGTCTCCATCCTCGCAAGTTTTCAAACCCAGATGAGTAAGTCCTAAGCAACTAGGTCTTAGGTCAGTTCTGACAATTCCTTGGGCAGGGGTTTGGTCTAGGTGACCTCCCAAGGTCCCTCCCCACGTAAACTATCCTATGACTTCTTCCTAATAAGAAGAAACACAACATTCAGAAGTGCCCAGCTGAAAGCATATCCTACTGTTTCAGTGAACTGTCCACCTCTTTCGTTCTTTGCTCCTTTAAAGAAACCTACAGCTACTGCATAAGGATGCATTAGTCAGTTACTGCAAAAAGATATTAAATGCATGCTATAAATGAGAGTACCAAATAGGTGCAGTCCACCCCAAACGCTCAGTTTAATCTTTCTACTTTGCAAGTATTATAATAAAGCATAACCGAGGTACGAGTGATAGGGCCTTCATCTCCTCCCACCCTTCAGTGTCAGGCATGGAGCTCATTTGGACCTTGGTGAATGACAGGCAGCAACGTTCACTGCCCTCAGGTTTCTCAGTTACAGCTGGCAGCACAACGAAACTGTCCTTTGCCTCCAAGTAATAAAAGTAAACCAGAGGCCTAGCATCAGGGAAAATAAATGGAAAGTTACTTCTTCAGACAAAGCAATTAACAGTTACAATCTAATTGTGACAAGTATCCAGCTATAATGAAGAGATCTAAAAACCGACCTCAAAATGAAAAGCAAGGCTGCTCAGCAGGTACTGTTAGATGGCAACTTTCCCTCTATGAAAAGTATAACGAAGGGCTAACTAAATAAGAAGTTTCCAGTGGTTTCTTTTTTCCTCAGGATGATCTTGTGTTAGTGATAAGGAAGAGCACAACTAAATATTGTGTAAGTATTACTGGTAATGTGCAAGACGCCTATTCAGAATGCAAAGATTACATACTATTTGCTTGCCTTAAAAAAAAAAAAAGAGGAAAACAACTTAGTTTTTTCTCTGAGGGAAACTGTTAAAGCTAGAAATAAGCATATGTTTCATTTCAAGACAAAAATGTTTATTTTTCCTTGGTATTTATACATCTGTAAAGTTTTCACTGGAATTTAGTTTAGAAGTTACAAGTACTTAGAAATATTGCCTCCAAAATCCAACATGACAAAGAAAAAAAAGAAAGAAATAAAAATACTAGCTCCCAGGTTTCCTCTGTATGTGTTTACAGGCTATAGGAAATGAAAGCTTTTAAACTAAGGAAAAAGGAATAATCTGTATGCTAAAAAAACAAAGAAACAAAAAAAAAACTGTAGGTGCCCCATACTATTGTTCTGCAAGAGATCTGTGATTACCCAAAGGTTTCGCATTTATACCTTTTCAACAGTCACAGAGCAGGCCTCGCTTCAGGAAATGCTTTTTCATACTTCTAAATTAAATACGTTTCAAGAGATGAGAATTCACAGAAAAGCATTAACAAACACAATATTGATTTTTCTACTCTCTGCCTGAGTTGTGGAAATATCTGCAATATCCCTAACAATAAAGGCCTTGATTTAGAAGCCTCAATAAAGTAAGAATAAGAACAAACGTTTGTACAGCTAAATACACATTTACCTTCTTCAACAGTCTGTACAAAGGCCCCTGAAGAATTCCAATTTGTCGTAAACCCGAAGTTGCGGCTGTGGCCAGGTCTCTGGTTTATACTGATTCTCATTTCACTGTACTGTTCCTGAAAAATAAAACATGACACTACAGTATCTGGTATCACAGGAATCCAAATGAGGGAAAGTTTATCCTCTAAATAAGCGAGGCCACTCACAACGTGCACTTTAATTATCTACTACTCGCATCATCTACAAAGGAAACAGCACTGAAGTCAGTTAACTGACTAGCTTGTTTTTAATTCAAACAGGCACCTTCTTGGCTTACGTGTGTTTATATTATTTTTCTTGTACATATATATTCAGCTGTACATTTTTCTAACTGTAAATTCTCCACAGAACAATGCCACAAAATGTAAGAAATCTGAGGAAACCAAAACTCTGAATGAGCCTTCGTGGACAGCCTTATGAATTTGTGGGATCTATACTGCCTCCTGACAAAGCATCAGTCAAACAGGATTGTGAAAAGGCTCGTAATTCACCTTGTTTATTCTTACGCATGCTATAGGAGGCTGTATCGGTTTCCTTCAGGCTCAGTGCTGCAACTAGATTTACCTGCGTAAACAGTCCTCTTTCTAATTTTGTGCGAAATACTACTAGCTTGCTATGGATTTCGTAATGGGGGCCTTCGACTATAAAGCTAATGCCAGAATTTGCTGGAAACCAGACTTTCCATTCTAGTGGACTTTCAAGATGTTTTCAAAATCGGAAGGAAAATCTAACATTTCCATTTGAAACTACACAAATATTTGATTTGGAATACATTTTGAAACACTCGCTTTCAACATCAAAATATATTATAAGCATGTGCTATATACATTAACATTTTAATATGAAGTCATTAGAAAACCACTAGAACACCTAAACGAGCGGTATCCATTTCATCACAACGAAATTTGTATGACGAAAGGGAAAAAAATTAGACTTTTTCTGTCAAACACTGTTAGAACAGATAAAATGCAGGAAAGTGTATATGGAGAAGACACAGTATGCTTGTGTGCGCACTAAACGTATGCCTAAATTTTAGCTGCCTGGTGAACCAATCTTCCCACAGGGTGGGACTCGTTTTCCCTAGCTTCAAACATGTAAAAGTTTAGGTATCTAAGCTGGTTCCCAACAGTTCTCATTTCGGTCATTTCAGGCACCTCCAGAGCATGTTTCACAAGTACAAGCAGCAAAAGGGAGGCTCGGAGCAGCAGCCAGCCAGAGGAGGCTTCAGCAGTACCCAAGCAGGGGGTGCACATGAAGACAATCTTGCAGGACAACATCCTGAGGTTTTCCCCTGTGTTATAAAAGTGTTCCCAGCAAAACACAAACAGTCACAATCCAGGGTAGAAACTACTAAGTAATTACTTCAAAATGCTATTAACTTACAAACTCTCCTCCACTGCAAGAGGCTTTCTTTTTTTCCTGTACAACCAAATCCCTTAGGTAAGTAACAATACATTAAAAGTTAATATACTAATAGATGCAATGCATGAGCACGCAGAAAGCTTTGGAATTTGAGTGTCTCATGACTAATGACAGGAATAAAATAGGATGCAAGACATTTTGCTTTCATTTGGCTCAGGCAAAAACGAGCCAAAAGAATCCACATCTAATCCCATTTTTCATTGCTTACAATCCCTGTTTATTTTTTATTTTTTTTACCATAACACAGACAAAAATAATCATAATCTCTTTCCTTATGCAATAGTCACAGTTGCCAGAAATTATGATAATTTCATTCTGGTGGCTAGATGGGTACCTCAGAGATCACGAGTATTAAACTGAAATCTATTCTTCTTCCACAGGTGATTAAGAGGAAGAATGGTTCAAAAAGATCACTACAGATGCATGCATAAAAATAGCCAGTGTATAAGGTGATTTCATAAATCAAGGTCCAAGGTTTTATGATCCTCACCCAAGCAACTGACATAATTAATTCACACAGCAGCACCAGGAATGCAAGGAATTCACCTCTAGCCTAGTGAGGGGCATGAACCACATTGTTAGAGACTACAGGAAGGTACTAACACTTAAGAGTTACTGATACTGATTTTTTAATTGTGAAACATGAGATCAGTCAGAGGAAACAGCACAGGAAGATTCCACAGCTCTGAAAGAAACACTAAAGGCCCAACTTCTAGATAAGCAGATATACAGGGAGATGGTGATTTGTTTTAAAATTCATTAGTGAAAATACTAAATCAAAATAATTTCAAGTAAATAATTATTTTTAAAAAAAATCTCAAGCCACAACAAAAGGGGCAGAGGGAAGAACAGTGATACTACTGGCTTTTGAAAAGCAGATCTTGATTTTCTACCACCCGTTTGAAAGTGCAAACGGAGACTAGAGCAGCTTAGATTGTTCACCTAATAGACATACCTGGTTAGGCACACAATGTGCTAATTTGGAGAACAACAAATTTGGTAAGCACCAAACTGAACATTTGGAATGAAGGGTTTCAACTTCAGTTACAAATAAAATCAAGCACAGGACAGATAAAGGGTAGG